ACCATTTGCTATTCCAGTAGTAGTAAATCCATACGTATGGTTAACATGCATCCATAGCTTCCTTAATTTTCACTGGAAAGGCAGAGAAAAACATGCAATAGTAAAATCTTAAAACTATATTAGAAAAAGGCAACCTGTTGTTTTTTTTTCCTGGCAGGCTTCCATTTTCTTACTGCATTTTTATTTCAAGCTAGGTCCCAACACTAATTTCTCAATGGGCACTGCAAGTGGAACAGGGAAATTTTGCTAAGGACAAGGTATGTGCCTTTCAACCTTTTTGCCAACTATTTAAATGCTTTGCTGCTTTGCAGTGTGTTCCTACGGCCACAGCTCTGTCACTGGTCCCAAGGCAGAAGAGACAGGGAATGCATTTTTTGGGACCAGAATGTTGCTGGACTGGCTTCCTAAAAATGAGCAAACCTACCTTTGGCTCCTGCACACAAGATCATGTAACTCAGTGGCCTGTAAGTGGAAACTATACGTTGCCACACCTGCTGATGCAAAGAGGTGTTCTGAAGCGGCTGAGTACAATGTACTTAAAGTTTATCAAAGTGTGTTGAAAACGTTTTTAGGTTCAGTAGCTGATGTTTTTTACATTTTAACAGTGTTATGCAGGGGAATGTTTCTTGTATTTGAGAATGCCAGATAGCTCGTAATATGGGCACTGTTTTTTGTTTGAGAAAAACTGGTATCTTTGAACAATGCTATCAGTTTATGTGGAGCCAGATTTTCCTCCAAAACTGGAAGTTTAAATACTTTGATTGACTTCATTGCAATTCCTTCTGATCTAGAGCAGGATATGACTTTGCAGATACGCTAAATGTGCTTGCTCTAAGTGACCCAGAAATCATTTTGCATATATCCCTTTTCTAAACTGTCACAGCGGAAATGCCTTCTATTGAATTGGTATAATATGAGACTGGCTGCAGGCTTTTAACTAAGCAGCTAAACCAGCATTCAAGGTGGACATCATAGCCTGAGGCACAAAGCAGAACCTAAAGTGGTTGAAACAACAACAACAAAAAAATGGTTGCTGTACTGGATGTCCTCTCTAAGAGTGTAGTAAAAGGGTGCAGAAGTAATGCAAAGGCATCCAAATGTTTGAAATATGCAATAGAAATTTATGGAGAAAATGCAGTTCCCCAGATTTTGTAACTGTCCAGAATGTATTGTAATTATACTAATGAAAACAAACTATCAAAGTACATACTGGTACTCCTGTGTCTTCTTAATAGAAGAAAATTGTTCAAAAGGCTTTAACAGGTACTTCGGCCTCCCCGTTCACAAATGAGTCTCTGAGCTTGCAGGTGATATTGTAGTTAATAGGAAAATGGATATATAACACACTTGTCAAATATCAGAACAGTGAAATCAGTGAAGAGACGGTCTAGCAAAGCTGCCTGCAATAATACTATGGGCTGTGCCTGCCCTGCAGCCTCTTCTGCTGCAGGTGAGAAGTAGAAGTAAATGGACAGTAGACACTGAGCTGTGTGAGGTCGGTTAGATTGCTATCGGTACCTCAGCAAACTGGAATAATGCAGTGGCTGTGTCCTGTGGCAACACAGACATCCCAGTAGTTTAAAAGTGCTACATTTCATTTGACTATCTATTGCAGTTGGCATTTTCAAAGAAGGAAACGATATGTTTATACTGGTGGAAAAATGCTACTCAGTATTGAACAGATCAAATAGTTGCACACTTTGAAATATGCAGTAATGTGCAAAAGGATGCTATGATAATATAAAGATTAAGCTGCTCTAAATATGACCTGCAAACATTCTTTTAATATTCCAAGTGGTGTTTCTCTCTTGATTGTTACTTTTTACCTCAAGTCTGAAGGTTTTTTGATTCAGAAATGTCATTATCTTCACTGGTTTTGTTGAAGGAATCTGCTGGAAAGTTCAGAATTAATTTTCTCATGGTTGAAATTAAAGAGGGTGGAGTACTTGAATCTTTTCAGATGACCTTTCTTCAGAAAAAACCCAAAACTGTATTTGAACAGCCTGGCTAAAAATCCCTCAACTTTTTTAGTTACCCACTCTTTGCTCTTTATTTAGTCATTACCTTTTATTTAATCTAGAATTAAAGATAGCACGAGCATGGGTTCTTGACTTTTTCCTTTAAAAGGGCAAGCAGGAAAGTCCTGCAAAAAGTGAAAAATCTTGGCATGACTCTTTGACATAGCGCAATGAGAAAGGGAGATGATTTGCATCTGCTGAAATATAACATCAGTACATGTTCTATTTATGGAGCATCGTGAGTCACAAGCGAGGTCAGTGTTCACATCGGATCAACATTTCCCTACAAGTTCCCTGTTTAGGTATAACAAGTCTAAATTGGAATTTTTTACTTTTTTAAAAACAGTCTTGATTCTTTAGTAAGTTTCCAAGAAAAGGTAGAACATTACAGCACTAAAATGCAACAGATGCATTTAAATACATAGCAGAGACAACTTTAAATTGTAAAAATTTTCAATATAATTTTGTAATGAATGCTGTAAAAAGATTAAAATGAGAGGGCAGGAACATTTTTTTTAAGGTTGTGTGTTCCATAAATTTCATTCATTCCTTAAGAAGTTGTTATTCCCTCTTGTAGCTCTGTCAAAGAAAGCAGAAGGAAAGTATAATAGTATAAGGAGACATTTTCTTTTTAAAGAAACAGGTAATATACAAATTCGTGAAGCTATAACGTACATGTAATGTAATGGAATAAATATAGGCAAGAAGTAGGCTATTTGTTGTGGTTTGGCCTCAGCCATCAAATAAGCACCATGCAGACACTGGCTCACACCCTCCCGGAGTGGGACAGAGAGAGAATTGGAAATGAGGTAAAACCTGTGTGTTGAGATGAGATCGGTTTAATACTTGAAATAAAATATCAGTAATAGATGGTAATGCATACTTCTCCAGGATAATTGTAAGACTTCTCAGTCTGGCAGGAATTAGGTTTGAGTATTGCATTTCTCCCCATTTTTAGAAATAATATTAAAATGCAGTGTTTAGTTACAGTGTTATCCTTCATGCACAGTATACATTTTCCTTCAGTACTGGTTTGTTCCATGTATAGAAAAGCTGTCATTGGGACAGGAGACTAAATTCCCATGAATAGCAATACAGGAGCCATCTCACAGATGCTTTTGCATAGCTTTTATTCATAAGGTGACAGAGAACCAAGTAAAATTCATCACTGAGCATGATGCCTACAAATCATAGAAAGCCAGTTGCATTTTTAAACATTTTTAATGTGTAGTAGGGAATATTTTAATAAATGAGGGGACCAAGGTTGTCCCAGGTAGCATTTTCAAAATACTATCAGAAGCTCACACAAGATAATTTTATGGGGTTCTCTTTTAAGTATCTCTCTAATATGACCAAGTCTTTATCAAATTGCTGTGTCTGCATGGCTTGGATTAAGAAGGAGGTATGGATTCTCAGTATTCAAATAAATTTGTCTTTTGAATGAGCTTTTCCTCTCTTACTTACAAAAAGGTGGCTTGTCTCTGTTTTGGACTTCTTAAAAACTTCACTGGACCTACACATTCAGAAACATCAGCGATTCCCATGTGAGCACCTTTTTTTATCATTTTAGTTCATGCTGCAGTACTGGCATCTAAACAAAATCTTCAGGTAAGCACTCTAGTCACTAGTGGTGTCCCCCAGGGCTCAGTATTGGGCCCAGTCCTGTTCAATATCATTATTGATGGTCTTGATGAGGGGATTGAGTATACCCTCAGGAGATTCACAGATGACACCTATCTGGTTGGGTGTCAGTCTGCTGGAGGATAGGAGGGCTCTGCAGAGGGATCTGGTCAGGCTGGACTGCTGGGCCAAGGACAAAGGGATGAGGTTCAATGCGGCCAAGTGCTGGATCCTGCTCTTGGGTAACAACAACCCCATGCCGTGCTGCAGGCTGGGGGCAGAGTGGCTGGAAAGCTGCCCAGCAGGAAAGGACCTGGGGGTGCTGGTCAACAGCAGCTGAACATGAACCAGCAGTGTGCCAGGTGGCCAAGAAGGCCAATGGTATCCTGGCTCGTATAGGAAATCGTGTGGCCAGCAGGACCAGGGAAGTGATTGTCCCTCTGTACTCAGTACTGGTGAGGCCACACCTCAAGTACTGCATCCAGTTCTGAGCCCCTCAATTCAGAAAGGACATTGAGGTGCAGGAGCGACTCCAGAGAAGGGCAATGAAGCTGGTGAAGGGTCTGGAGCACAAGTCCTATGAGGAGTGGCTGAGGGAGCTGGGATTGTTTAGCCTGGAGAAAAGGAGGCTGGGGGTGACCTTATCACTCTCTACAACTACCTGAAAGGAGGTTGTAGCCACGTGGGGTCAGCCTCTTCTCCCAGGTAACTAGTGACAGGACAAGAGGACATAGGCTTGAGCTGCATCAGGGAAGGTTTAGTTTGGGCATTAGGAGGACTTTCCTCACAGAAAGGATGATTAAACATTGGAACGAGCTGCCCAAGGAGGTGGTGGAGTCGCCATCCCTGGAGGTGTTTTAAGGAAAGACTGGATCTGGCACTCAGTGCTCCAGTTGACAGGGTGGGGTTGGGTCATAAGTTGGACTCAATGATCTCAGAGGTCTTTTCCAAACTAATTGATTGTGTGACTCTGTGCTTGGCCTATAGCAGCTTTTTTTTTTTAGAGAAAAAGCACTGTTACAGGCTGAGCAGGGTTGGGGTTTCTTTTGGACCCAGCATGCAGGGTCCTGGATTCTGATACAGGACTTTAAAAACAGATATGCAGTTTACTGTTGTTACACTGTGGGCATCAGCCCTCAGGTTTTGAAGATTAGATAGAAGACTAGGCTTGGTATACTAGATCCGAAAGCAGGGGAAATGAGGAGTAAAACTGGGAGTGACTGTACTCGGCAGAAGTGGACAGGGGTTTTTTTGTTGTTGTTTTCTTTTAACTGCAGTCCTACGCCTTGGTTTTGGTTTGGTTTGTTTTGCTGCCGGGGCGGAGGCGGCGGGGAAGCGGTTCCGGGGTCGGGAGGGCGGCACCGCCCATCATGTGACGGCGGCTCCGAGGGGAAGCGGCGGCGGCGGAGCCGTGCGGGGCGCGCCGGGGGCGCCGACAGGTACGGCGGGCAGGGCAGGGCAGGGCAGGGCAGGGCAGGGCAGGGCAGGGCAGGGCAGGTGGGGTGGGGCAGGGTGGGGTGGGGTGGGGTGGGTGGGCAGCGCCGACTCCCCGCCCCTCCCCATAACATACACACCCCTCTCGGGTGCGTGGTGGTCTCGGCCTAACCGTGCTCCTTTCCCGGCCTGAGTGGAGCAGCCTCTACCACAGAAGCGGGGCGGGGGTGGCGGCCGGCCGGGCCTCGGGAGGAGCGCGCCCGCCCTCCCTCTCTGCCACTCCGCCCTGCTTCGGGCGGCGGCCGCGCGCTCTGCTGACCGGGCGCCTTCTCGTCTCGTCTCTCAGGCCCGCGGAGGTGGCGGCGGCAGCAGCGCCGGGCGGGCCCCAGCCATGGCCGACGTGAGTGTGGCTCCTCGGGCGGGTGGGACGCGGGCGGCGGCTTTTTGAGGCGGGGGGCCGGGAGTCAGGGGATCGGGCCCGGTCTGTCAGGGCAGGGGCGGGCCGGGGCTGGGTGAGGAGAGCAGCCTCGGGACCGGGGTAGTGTCGGGGGCCGGGGCTGGGAGGCAGCTCGGGGGCCGGGCGGGGAGGCAGCTCGGGGCCGGGCGGGGAGGCAGCTGGGGCGCTCCCCCGCCCCCTCCGAGCGAGTGAGTAACGCGGTGCCCGTCTCTGCCCGCAGGACCTGAAGCGGTTCCTGTACAAGAAGCTGCCGAGGTAACTCGGGGTCTCTGCGGGGCGAGGGGCCAAGGCCGTCTAATCCCAACCCCCCCTTGCCGTGGGCAGGGACACCTTCCACCAGACCAGGCTGCTCCCCCTCCAGCTTGGCCTTGAATGCTGCCAGGGCCAGGGCATCCACAACCTCCCTGGGCAAGCTATCCCAGTGCCTCACCACCTTCCTAGTAAAGAATTTCTTAGTAATATCGAACCTAAATTTCCCCTCTTCTGGTTTGTACCCCTTACTCCTTGTTCTGTCACTACAGTTCCTGATGTAAAGTCCATCTCTGGCTTCCATGCAGGCCTCCTTTAGATACTGGAAGGCTGCTGTGAGGTCTCCATGCGACCTTGTCTTTTCCAGGCTGAACCGCCCCAACTTCCTCCAGTCCCCTTATCAACTTTGTGGCCTTCCTCTGGACTTGCTCCAGCAGTTACATGTCCTTCGTATTATTGAGAGCACCAGAACTGTACTGCCTGTACTACACAGAACAAATACTAAATTACTGAAGGCATCAATTTTTAACAGGTTTTCCCCTTCCTTGCACATTTGTTCAGAAAAAAAATCTTTGCTGCTAATTACTGTGTTTTTAAAATGGTGTCTCTTCTTCATCCTTCTTTTCTTTTTTTTTTCTGCAGTGTTGAAGGTCTTCATGCTATTGTGGTCTCAGACAGAGACGGTGTGCCTGTTATCAAAGGTAACCTCAGCTTCTCCCTGTACCCTACAGCTAAAATCCTGATTGAACAGCAGGGGGTGGAGAAGTACAGCAAAATCTTCTCTGGTTATGCCAAATACCTGAATATCCCAAATGGAGGAATTAAATTAGACTTTTATTTCAATTTCAGTATTTGAATATGTACCTCTTTAAATGCATCATTTTGTTTGTGTCCTCAGTAATTGTAGTCCGTGGAAGTTTTATTTGGCGAAAGGGGTTGGAATCCTGTAAGGTCCTTATATCTCCAAGTCACTTGCAGGCTGATGGATACTGAGTACAAGAGAGAACTTAGCAGTATTCTGTTGACTGGGCTGGTCTGTGCTCGGAAGCAATTGCATCCAGCTGTTACACACGTTTAGTTTGCCTTTTGGTACTGTAGTTTTCATCTTCCACATTTCTCGTTCAAGATGCTTTTTTATGTTATGAGTACGCTAGTTTAAAGATACAAAGGTTCAAGTACTGCAGTTTGTTTGGGTGGTTTTTTTTGGTGTTTTTTTGGGTTTTTTTTTTAATCCTCAGAAGTACTTAAACAGCTGGCAGAACTCGCACATCTTCAGCTGTTCACAGTCAAGTGACTGTGTGCCAGTAATCAGGTCAAAGGCTGGAATGGGTGCAAACAGTAAGGGGCACGGAACCCAAGGGGCACCAGCACAGGCTCTCTGTCCTAAAGGAAAAGAATTGCTTAGGTACACTAGGAAGGACACTTGGTGTAATGAGCTTTCATCACGTACGGAGCATTAAAGGATGTGTTGCTCATGAAGATTATCTTGTGCTCATTGTGGAAGCACAAGATCTGTGCTGTGTTTTCCCCAACAGCAGATCTGCTTTTGGCAGAGCACTAAGCTGGATAAGGGCTTGGGATGCAGTCAGAGATGCCATATAATGATGAGAATGTTCTTGTTTTGTTCTAGTTGCCAATGATAATGCTCCAGAACATGCACTGCGACCTGGCTTTCTGTCCACCTTTGCCCTCGCCACAGATCAGGGCAGTAAATTAGGACTTTCTAAAAACAAAAGTATCATCTGCTACTACAATACATACCAGGTGAGTAACCTGAGAGTGCTTTGTCCTCAGTGACCTGAGCTGTTTCTACATTACATTGAACAAGAGAGAAAGGGTGGTTTAAACTCTTATATCCACTTGGCTGCTGTTAAAGTAATTGTGGTTTATCTCTTACTCTGCTTAAATGACTAAGCCAAACTTTCATGCTATTTATTAAACTTCTCTTATATTTCTCAAAACTGAGATTTACTCATTGAAAATGTGAAAGTTTTCTGTACAGGTAGTAATCATGAATTTGCAGCAGGTACTGCTCATGTGGCCTTCAGAATCTGTTATGAAAGGTTTATGTTCTCTTTTATAAACAATATTTGTTTATAATTAGTGACACCTAAAGTTAATTAAGCACATGCCTACTTCATGGCTAATCTTGCTACCAGTGTGACTTTGAGGTGAGAAAGTTTTGAAATACCACTCACATTGTTCACAGAATGATTATTTGTGTAATCCATCACCTGCTTTGTTTCTGCTCCTTCTCAATTTCTAGTGGTCCTGAGAGCTTTTTGTTATGACTGCAGTTAAACTGACCAGCAGTTTAGCCTACAGTGTATCAGGCTTTGTTTGGATAATAAATGGGTCAATGAGTTACTTTATACACATGGAGTACACTGCTTTGATTCTCTTGATTCTGTAGCTTATTGTTATGTCCAAGGTTCCAGTTCCCTATTAATGGAAGAAGAGATACTTCTGTATAGGGAACAGTATTTTAAAACGTTAAATGTGCCTGCCCTCTTGTTTCCTCTGGAGAGTCTGGTCTCCATGGTGTACTCTGCGGCATTTGTAGCTGAATTGGATTTCAGGTGGACAACACACTGTAGAACACGGAGGGGGAGGAAAGTACCAGGCTTTTCCCATGCAGCTCCCTGTACTGTGGTGTAAGTTTTGTTGGTGTTTTTAACCATGAATCTTAAAAAACAGATAAACTGAAAAGTCATCCCTGTGGCTCTTGCTCCTGCTTGTTCTTTAAACTGAGAAGGCTACTTTTTTCCGGAAGAATTTTTGTCAGAGCTCTGACCTCCAACTTGTGTTAGCTTCTGTCTGAGCACTGTTCTCTCTCCTTGCAGGTGGTGCAGTTCAATCGCTTGCCTTTGGTAGTGAGTTTCATTGCTAGCAGCAATGCCAATACCGGTATGTCTTCAAATATTTTAAATATTTTAAATACTGCAGTCTTTTGAGGCCCAGGTATTTAAGTAATTGAAAATAAATTACCTGAATTCACTTCAAACTGTATTAACTTTGCTCCTTGCTATGAATTTTGTCAGCATATTGTGAAGGTGAGAATGGAGAGGTGTGAGTGAAAATTCAGAGATTTTTAGGTGACTTGCTGAAGTTTTTCTTCCAGAAGCATGTTTCTCCTGTGACTAACCTTACCCTTGCTACCTGAGAGTGTTTGCTATCTTGAAATTACTGTGCTGTACAATTGTTTGGTCTCTTTCTGTCAGTTCCAGGTTAACATTTGCAGTAGTGTGCAGCTGTGTCTTCTCATTTCTGTGGGGTGGGGAATTCCTTCAGCCAGGCACCTGGCCTTGCTCATGATGGCATTGGCTGATGAATATGAGCAGAAGGCACTGGATTTTGGCAAAGCTGTTTGGGCCACGGTAGCTGTGGGAAGCAGCAAGGCGATAGCGGGGGAGAGCTGCTCTGTGTGGGATGTGCCTCTGCTAGTGGTGGGAGCTGCAGGCCCCCTGCCTGGGAGTGCTGCACACTGTTCCCATGGAGAGTGAGCAGCTCAAGTAAAACATTTCATGTTTTGAAAAACACTGACTTGGGAGGGGCAGGGAGCTGCAGGCTTTAGAGAGAGGCTTCTCAGTGATGTTGTCTGATGGAATGTTCTGTCTCTTCTCTCTTTCCAGGGCTGATTGTAAGTTTAGAGAAGGAGCTCACTCCCCTGTTTGAAGAACTGAGGCAGGTCGTTGAAGTTTCTTAATCTGATGGTATAGCCAGAGTGCAGCATTCCTCTGCAGCACAGTGGACAGAAGGATTCAATAATCGTCAGTCAAATAACACGTCTCAGAAGAAATATCACAGCTCCTTAGTATACTAAGTAAGAGTAAATTGTACATAGTACTGAATCTGAAATGATCTACTAGTGTGTTGTAGGTGGATGTTACTTTAGGCCGTGCTTCTTGTATTGTGCAGTACTGGAGAGACCACCAAAATAGCTCCCATGGAGTTTAGCTGAGCCGGATCAGCACGACGCTGTTGGCTCAGACGAGCAACCCACAGATCCTTTGCTTTACAGGGAACCAGGCACACGGCAGGGTGTATCCTCAGGCCGGCCACCGCTACTTGTTGGAGAGAGCAGATCAGTTGTGTAGTGTGATCAAGGACGTGGTAGAAAGCATATTGGGAGAGCAGGTTTATCAGCAGCGATGTGTCGGTACAATCAGTAAACATCCCTTCCTTTTCTTGCCTGCTTTGGCAAGGGAGTGCTACTAATCTGGATGCTAGCTGCATCCTGCTTCCACTAAGAAGAAAGCTGTTTCTATGGAAGCTGTTGCTTTAGGGGGTTTCCTGATGCCCAGCTGAAAGCACCCAAACCATGTCTCACTTCTTCATAGGTTTTTTTGTGTAATATGGTTGTGAAGATCTCATGTCTCAGTCTTTGTGTGGCTTCATCACCGGTGACACTCTCAGCTCATTTACCCTTAGGTTTTCTTAAGTAAATAAATCTAAATAAAATACAGTATTTTTAAATGACAGAGCCTGGTCCACTCTTCTGTTGCACCATAATACCCCACAGCACATCTGATTTTCTGTGGTGAGAACAGGTCTCTTAACTGTAAATGTACAAAATCTAGAAGTTTACACGTTGAAAACTAAGCAGTGTGTCTCTCACTTGGGCAGTAAGGATAGAGAGTCCTGTGCCGTGGCAGAGATCCTGTTGGTGGGGGTCAGTCCTGTGCTCTTTCCATCCCCTTGTTCCCTCCCACATTCCCCTTGTGATAACTGCCAAGCACTGCAGGTCTGAGGGAGAGCTCTGGACAAGTCTCTGCCTCAGGCTGGGAAAGGGGGCACCACAGCCCCTTGTTTAGACCTCGTGGACCTGCAGCAATCAGGCATGATAATAGGGGGAAACGGTGGAGCTGGAAATGAGCACCAGGAATTCTTAGTTCAGAAGCTCTCGCAGAGACTACAGATCATCAGTGAACCCTTTTCCATTTAAACTGAGCTGGACTGGGACTTATGTTGCTGGTCATTACAGAAGGAGCTGGAAACAGCCCCGAGGTGTCTGTTTGTATTTCTGGCAAAGTGTGTTTGTGTTCTATCAAAGGCCTACTCCTGCTGTTCATCTGTCTGTGCTGGCTTCCGAGGCCAGCCGAGCACTGTTTCTTTTACTGGCTTTGGTTTGTGACACCATGTGCTGAACGTGCTTCTAATGTTTTGTAAAGCAGCTGTCCGTGTGAAAAAGGGAAGGCTGCTTTTGTGGTTACACGTCAAACTCCATTTCCAAGCTGTTTTCCCAGAACAGTGATGCTGCTGGAGAAGATCATCTCTCTTCCCCTTCTGCTGCCTCTCTCTCGCACAAACTCAGTGAAGGTTTTCAAGCTAGATGGGGGATGCCAGTTTGTTAAACCACTTCTTTAAGGGAAAAAGGAGCACAAAGCTTTAACGGTACAGTACAGGAATACAAATACCTGTGGTAGTTTTATAATGACATTTTATTCAGAAAACAGTCTGTATAAAAATATTTACAAATATTTTGAATTTCTAAGTTGCAATAAAATGCTATTCCCTGTGTCCAAATATATATTTTCTTTCTGCCAGTATGTTTCAATCTTCCTCTTCTGCAGTCTTCTCACAGTAAAGGGAGTTACGTAACACCTGCTGCGTGAGCAGTGCTCAACACAGGCTGCAGTGTTTGCATAGTGGGAGGTTTGTGTGTGCTGTTCTAGCATAAATTTGGCTGTTATGAAGGGAGACAGGGCCTCCCTGCTTTTCCCTACCCTTCCAGGAGCCTCAGGATTGCTCAGGGCATCTTGCAGCTGGGTCAGCCAATGAGGTCAGGCCAAATGGTCTTGGGCCTCTCCAGTGTGTCACGCTTTGCTTCCAAAATGTAATATCTATTTTGAGTACAGCACCAAAGTCCTGGGCTTCCACTTTTTGCCCCTGTTGTGAGCCACAATACTGTTAATGTGTCTGAGTCTTGCACAGTACAGATGTAAATTTGTATCAGGTTACATAGAAGATGTATTCTGTTAAATTTGTATTTTTAGCATACGTGATGCTCCTTGTTCAATATAAAGCAAGCAGTGCTTAATGCTAAACACAGTTCTGGACAAAACCTTGTTTTGGGTTCTCCGTGTGAGGGGAAAAAAGCAACAAAATCTGGTGCGTTTTGTCGTGATGAAAAAATAGAAAGCCTGGTGCATTTTCAAGGGGGACTGTAATGAGCCTGACTCGTAATGCTGCTAACAACGCTGGTGGCTGCTACAGACAAAGCTTTCTGCAGAGCCCTGTCACCCAGCCTTGAGGTCCTGGGGTACCTCTGCATGACTGCCCGGAAACAGCTTCCTGTTTCTTGTAACCCTGATTTGTAAACAAGTGTGCTGCTCACCATTACCTATTTGAAACAAGCATTCACTTTTAGCCATCACTGTGGTATAAATCTAAACCATGTAAAAATATATCTGACCAGAACTAAGTGTTAGTCATCCGTCACTTTGAAAAGGGCCTTGAAATATTCTCTGGATTACCACATAGATACTATTTACAAAAATGTCATTTTTACAAAACCTGTCATTTTTCTTTAGGTTTAATGCCTAAACAGGTAATAAAAAAGAGATATTTAATGTTTGCAGGAATGACTCGTTTTAAATATTTAAAACAGGCTCAAGGTTACAGAACGTGATACTGATGGTTAGCTGCGATGGAGCTTGCAATAAATTAACAAGAGTGCTCTGAATAACCACAGAAGTTTTCAGCAGTGACTACTTCTGTGATTAGTTAACAGATGTTTGGATATTAAGTGCATTACAGGCATACACCATCTCAAACCAACACTGGTTTTGCAGCAGTCTCCATGCGTGACTCGGCTGTGGGGATCCTTTGTGTGCAGAGCTGGGTGAAGGCGCACACTCACCGTGACATGTGAAACTGTCTTTTGGTAAGCGCTACCTTCCCGTGGCAGAGAGGCAATTCCTGCCAACGGAGCAGTGCTGGCGGCACAGCTAGGAACTGAGGGTGGCGTTGCGCTCCTCCAGCTGCTTCCGTATTTGTGACTGGAACAGAAAGGCAATCTGTTACTTTTTTGCTGGCATGCATGCGGATGTGGGTGAGTATGACCAACCCAGTTACTGATATCTCTTAGGAAGTAGTGCTTTCAAGCCTTGACATTGTCTTCTCATTGCTTCCTTCATGACCTAACGTGTGTGGTCTGTGCTGATGATCCATAATGTTTACCGACCACATAATGACATCCTTAAAGATGGAAGTAATTTTTTCTCCCTAATGGGAGTGCATATTAAAAGTTGCATCCTGAAAACGTGGAAGTGGGTTTGCAGGCACATACAGTGTGCCCCTGGACTTGGTACTTCCCCCTGTACTCAGCGCTGGTGAGGCCACACCTCAAGTGCTGTGTCCAGTTCTGGGCCCCTCTATTCAGGGAGATCATTGAGGTGCTGGAGTGAGTCCAGCAGAGAAGGGTAACGGAGCTCATGAAGGGTCTGGAGCACAAGTCTTATGAGGAGCAGCTGAGGGAGCTGGGGGTGTTCAGCCTGGAGAAAAGGAGGCTCAGGGGAGACCTTACTGCTCTCTACAAATACCTGAAAGGTGGAGGTGGGGGTCGGCCTCTTCTCCCAGGCAACTAGTGACAGACAAGAAGAAATGGCCTCAAGCTGCACCAGAGGAGGTTTAGGCTGGACATTAGGAGGAATTTCTTCACAGAAAGGCTGATAAGATATTGGAATGGACTGCCCAGGGAGGTGACCAGGCACTACCCCTGGAGGTATTAAAGAAGAGACTGGATGTGGCACTCAATGCCATAGTCTAGTTGACAGGGTGGGAATCTGTCAAAGGTTGGACTCAGTGATCTCAGAGATCTTTTCCAACCTAGTTGATTTTGTGATTATGTGAAAACTGTATTTCCAGTCTATCTGGCCTGGAAGCCAGAACAAATATTCCCCTCTTGCCGGTGATGAGAAGTGTAGTACTTGGGTGCTACAGTACTGTGGGGTTTATGATGGCAGTACCAAGGGTTCTGCTACCTGAGCCATCCTGCCATGTAACACTGCACATCCCTTACCAGTTTCCATCGCAGTATTTTAATCCACTCATCAGCTTCTATTCCAGTTTTTGCGCACAAGTAGTATGTCCTTAGTGGGAACACTAAACTGTAAGTAAACAGAACTTTCTTAGATTGCTAGAACAACTGGGGAGTTCTTCCTAAAACTGAGCCCAGCTGGCCTGCACCAACACCTGGTCAGACAGAGCCAGGCAGGAAGGCTGTGCTCCTGCTCAGTCACCAGGAGGGAGGTTAACCAAGAATGGCTGACGGTCATTTACAGATCAGGGAGATGCTGTCCCAGGTCCATAGGGATAAAAGACCCTCGTCTGGGCACAGAAGTGTTTACCATGTGACCTGTAGCAATGTCTGAACTCAAGATCCATGGGTCTAGGAGATGGTTATACAGGCTCACAGAATTAGAAAAAGGAATGCCCACTACACAGAGGCCCACCTTTTGCCAGCAGTAATTTGGCAAAGCCATGCAGGACTGACAGAGGTTGGCTGACAGAAAGAGACCCATGGCTTAGAGGATGAGCAGGGTCACAACCAATAAGGGGCCTTTCAGAAGCACCCAGTGTTTACATTTCTAACTTCCTCTTCTATTTTGACCTTCCCAACAAGATGAACAAAGTACTGCAGCTTACCAGAAACAATTGACTCTTTCCTGGGAATAGTCAAATTGCACAGCTGAGCATTCAGTTAAGTCAAGTGCCCGAATTGGTTCTGTGGCCTTGAAAATAAAATGTTTTTAAAACAGAAACTTATGAAAAGAGAAGATAAGGCTATCTCAGTTCAGTGCATCTAGACATTTACTAGATTTTTCCAGGCATAGATACAATAGAAACAAATGTAGCATCAGTATTATCATATGAATTGATCTAAATATAAAAAAACCAGGACAGTTCAGATCTGGACAAACAACAGAGGAGATCTCTAGTTCAGGAATGTTTGAGCTGGATGCAGACTGCTGAAGATTTGGCTGATGCCTTATAATGTAATTGACTCAGCAGCAAATCTGGTATCCCTTCCAACTAAGCTTTACAAAGGGGTGGGTATAGGTCTTACCAGACCTAGCCAGCTGTTACAGATTTAATTAATTCCTAAGTGCCTTAAAAGGATGTAGCTGGGTAAGGAAAAATGCAGAAGCAGAGCTAATGTTTGCAACAGAAGTGATGGGTCTGGCTGCTTGAGCAGTGTGTGTATATGCATATATATATATATACACACACACACACACATATTAGTTTCTTTGGACAAGACCAGGAATGCACAGATGCAGGGACACAGACTGTGTATAAGTGCAATCCATCTCCCTTAAGAGTTTCATTCTCTCTATGTGTGAGAGTTCCTCCTTGATTTGTTTCAGCCTCGCACTGTTGAGACCTCAGAAGAGGCAGCTTAAGCAGAAAACCATCTTGCTTTCTGCCCGAACGCCCTTAGCTGTTCCCCTGGTCCTTCATCAGGAGTATGAAGGTGTCTGTTCCTTTCTCTTCTTTCCTTACATTTTGTGTTGGCTCAGTGGCTGGTAGTTATAAGCTTCACTACAGGGAAGCCACTTGTGCTGCAGTGTGCTACCAAATGCCATCCTAGGGCCAGCTGCAAGCTGCACACCTGTAGGTATCTGCAACCCCACAGCAACAACAGGAGTGCCAGGAGACACCAGACCTGCTGCCAGGAAGGAGGCCATACTCCTGACAAAGACACCTTCTTGCCTGCTAAGTTACTATTGGAGTGCTGCCTCTTGAAATGTTATCCTGCAAACCTAATTCAAGTTGGCTTGAACTGAAATGAAAACTGATGGAAAGATGTGCAAAAACATAACTGTTTATAAATTGTAATGTTTGGTGAGAGAAGGCAATTGTGTCTGCTGTTGCATAAATATCTGTTAGAGACTTGAAACAAGCCTTGGCAGAGGTGCAGAGATAAACAGCTTGGCTGTGTTTATGAAGGAACCTGAACTGGAGGCACTGTAAGGGCAAAGAAACTCTAGAGGTGTTTCTTATCTTTACTTAGGTTGAGATAGAAAGGGAGCAGCAACTGTAAGGGCACAATGTTTTTCCCAGATGCTGCAGGTTAATGATTGCCAGTGGAATTTTTTAATGAATGGTTTTCTACATATACTGTAAGACCACTTGAAAGAATAGGACAAAATAAAAAAATGCAAAATATACTACTAGTATTTTTAGAACTACTTGGATAGCACAGTATCTGTTAGGTTGTGTGTCTAAGCGACCAATAAAAGCTGTGTAACGCTGGTAGCTTAAAATCCTCTTAACAAAGCAACCCAACAATATGTTTAAGGCCAAGCTGGATGGGACTTCGAGCAACTTGGTCTAGTGGAAGGTGTCCCTGCCTATGGTTGGAAGGAGATGATCTTTAAGGTCCCTTCTGAGCCAAACCATTCTGTGATTCTATGAAAAAACCCACTGTAAACAACCACCCTATCTAGTAGCTAAGACTGACAGAACACAGTAAATGTTTTCCAGATGTAAAACTTATTTTCTCTTGTTGAAGTCATCAGCAAAATTCTGACTTCACTTGAAAAGTCTGACCCCTCTGACAGTATGAGAAGCTTTAGCTTGGGAAGCTGTGATACAGATGCGAGAAACCAGAGATACAAGGAGGCTGCAGCTGCCTGTGTAGAGGTTTCAAGAGTAAAACTGGGGTTTGCTACTTACTGTCTGGTCTTTGAAATACTTAAGTTCATTCCTATGCAGTGTAAACCACCTTGTCTTCCAGTTCTGAAAGATCAACAATGGATGGTAACTGTCTTGGGAGAATTTAGTCTAATGCTTCTTAGGAAAGAAAAATATTTTAAAGCTGTTAACTTGCTCTGTTTTACAGTCATGCTCTGTTGTTTGTCACAACACAGATTGTTCATTTCTGCAGGGGAATGCAGGGGGAATGCAGATGGAGCTATTTCAGCTCCACATTGTCTGTAGGTTCTGTGGCTGATCAGAGTGGAAGACAGCAGTAAGAGTTTTCCTTACCTTAACTATTTTCCCTTGTTTTACCAAATATCCTTCTTTTGTACCAAGCTGTGAAGTAACAAGGAAAAGGATCAGGGTTAGAGACTGAGCTCTGCTTCTATTTCCCACATTCCCCTCTTTGCCTACATCCAGGAGATGGAAGAGCAGCCTGTTCTTTGGGAAACTCCCTATGGCCACTTGCCTTGTCCTCAATCCAATGCTCCCCTCAGACAGCTGGATCCTCTGCTAGGGAAAACATGGACCTGTGCTGGCTCTGAAGGCAACCTCCTAGACCGTGCCTTCCTCAGCAACCCACTGGCCTGCATCTTCCGAACCAAGCACAGCAAAATAGTTACAGTTAGAGTTTATTTAGTAAAGTTAGATGTTTCTAACTCAGTACATGTTGTAACCCGAAGCACATGGGGTTTAAGTGACAGGGAAATTATCCACAGAAATTGCTCCTCAAATGCAAAGAGGGGAAAGTGGTGTTTTACAGTGGCATTCTCTTCTCTCAAACAACCACATGCTAGAGAGGAAAAACCTGTTATGTTCAATGGGCTTTTTGAAAAAAATGATTTTTGAACTGTTTCACTAGTATCATGAATGGCACTTGGACCTTATGGCTTCTCAGATCCTGAAATTCTGGGTAGGGACCTGCGAGACTGTAAGAATCAAATTCCTGCAAAGTTGCTACTTGTTCTTGAAAAACTATTGTCTTTTTATTTGTGGTATGTGGAAGTCAAGCTTCTTTGGAGATTAAAGTGTAACTTGGCCATGAAGGGTTGGTTGTGAGACACATCAGAAGTGGTTCTTTTATCAACTTCATTAACCCATACTAATGTAACTCTTCCTCTTTTTCTCAAACAATATAGTATATAATTAAAATACCTTCCTCTCTCTTCTGAGCAAACTGTTCTGGAGAAACCACCTCTCTCACTTAGATATGAGTTACAGAGGACTTAGAACCTCTAATTACTGTCCAAGTGAGTCTCAGATGTCAGAACGGGTGGCCCAAATGGATATGATGATTTTTTTGTGTGTGTGTGTGTTTTTAATTCATGATAATGTTACTGCTAAGATGGCATGCTAAAAGGAAGACAACAGGAGAATGACAATCTTTCACATATTCTTTTGTTTGGATGGTCAGACTCAGTTAGGTCAGCTGCAGATAATATTTTCCCAGTGACACTGAAGGTATCAGTGACAACAATTATAAAAGGATTTGTCATGGGACCATACTTAGCAAGTCTGTGTTTGTTTTTGCCTTGGTTGGCAAAGACTTCCTGCATTTACAAACCCATAAAGGGATGAATTACTGGTCTTACTCCATAGCTCCCTCCAGCAATCATGCTACACTCAGGCCAGAAGCACCCCTCCTACCAGAGCACAACTTACTGAGGGAGCATTTGGAACAAGATCACTTTCCGTCCTTCCCGTCTGCATTGCAGTGTGAACTCGGACGGACTCATAAATGGAAGGTTCTTCCACTTGCCGTGGGTAGGGATGCTTCAATACAATTAAGGTTCCTGGAGAGACAAAGATCAGGAGTAATTCATCTGGCGGGACCATTTGAAAAAATAATTGTCAGTAGCTTACTGTTTGTGGAACAGTTAACTTTACCTTTTCCTAAAATTATAAAGGCAACTGTGAAAACTGTAAATATATGGTCCCTTTTCAAAATTCTGAGCTTCCTAATGCTTGCAGGGATCACCTGATCCATTAAATTCCCTTCCTGCAAAGGAGGCTGGCTGGGTGGGTAGGAAGGATGCTAAACAGGATAGGAGGTCGTAAGAGTCATTGGTTTTGCCAACAACCCACTACTTGCTGCTTAAACCACTTAATCTGTCAGAGCTTCGATTACAGACTTCCTACAAATAAGCCCATGTTACCATCTCCTTTAACTGTTTTTACTGTAACAGTTAAATGGTTTGATTACGGCCATTCTTTGTTCTCCAAATAAGGTCACATTTATTGCACGTGCAAAAAAGCTGCATTCTCAGTCAGTGAATTTATTACACTATTGAAAATAGTGAAGAACTTGCTTAAAATAGTAACTGCTATGCAATCTAACTTCGTTCTTTAAAAACAATGTCACAGCATACCAAGTGCTGCTCCATTTGCATTTTATGCTGTAAAGAGGTCTTAAAGAGGAGAGATGGTAGAATTGGTAAGAACTTGGAATTGAAACCTACAAGTGAATGAGTAATTTAGTAATTTTGTAATGGGAAAGGCTAAAAAGTGAAGTGGAAAAACTTATATTTGAAGTAACCAACTGAAATATATTCAGAGGCACAGAGGGTGTATGCAAATGTGATATATGCAACTTGCCATAAGTGAAAAGTAAAAATTAGTTTATGTCTCTCTGGTCTTGCAGAAAAATAATGCTTTACCATTTAGAATAAAATTGAGAACACACCTATCACCACTCTGCAGAAACTACTCTTAAGCTGTTGCATAGAATCAGAGTACCATCATCTGTCCACCATGGATAAAAAGCCCCATTGCAGAACTGGAAGGACTAATTTAACATTTTATACAGTATTTATTTTTTAGTAAGTTCTCTGTGGCTTTTTCTTCCTCCACAAAAGATACTTGTACAGAATCATCAAGTGACTATACACAAGAACTAGTAAAAGCTGCACTGTAGCAAGATTCTTCTTGCATGTTTGTGCATGGAATCTATTTCTAAGGAAGAATGAAATTAGTCTCACTGATAGAAATGTTAGCTTTAAATTACTTTGGCTTTTTGGTCTGGATAATTACAAAGTTATTACATGTTTTCAAAATCATTTAATTAAAAACTGATAAACAAAGCAAACAGGTAAGAATAACATGTTGACCTTGTTACTTTGAATGAAGATCCATCTTGCCTGTTCAATAAACCATCTCAAAAAACACAGTAGCCCCGCATTCCTTATAGTTATCTGTAGTTTAGAAGGAAATGTACCCATTGCACTTCAGAGAAGTAGATGGTAGCAAATGAAGCTGTAATACGGACAAGGCTGGGCTTGAAGCACAAACCTGCAGCTGTCTCGGTACAAAAGAACCACTGCACTCCATGGACCAGTCTGCATGGGTGTAGGCCTGTTTGTTAAAGTACTGATCAAAGAGAGGCTGGTGAGCCTCTTCAGACACAAAACTAGCTCCCCTGAGATAAACTTAAGTGGAAGAGAGTGGAAACCATCACACATCCTATCTCATGTGTCTCTGTCTAATAGAACCCTGTTCAAAACAAGGAGAAGATGAAAAATGCTGTCTTGCTTTACTCTTTCATTCCTGATCTCAGAGTATTTCTATAGAAAATTGTTTGCAAGTATAACAGGGAATAAGAAAAACTGGTCCAACTACTTTCTACTAATGTCTGAGCTAAAGGTCACTTGCTGCTTTTCACTGAAAGAAAGTGTTCCCTACTAAATCAGACTCCCTTTCTGGCCCTTCTGCCAACCTGCTGTGTGACCCTGTGTTGGGACAGACATTCTGCCACACTGAGGCATGGCTTAGAGTTGACACTGATGAGCACCTACCCCCTTTTTGACAGAAACTGGTTACCATCCAGGAAAACTTTGACACTTGCATCTGAAGTAACATTGCCTGAGTGCTAACACTCCCTTCTTCTCTGCTGTTATCCATAATAAGGTAAGGTGGAATGTTTCTTAATGTGATATCCAAGTTTATCTTTTTTTTTCATTCTGTAGCACATCCAACTTGGAGGTTTCACAGAGCCAGCAGAATCTGATTAGGAAGCCTTGAAGTGACAAGTGAGCTCATCATTCAGCCGTGTTGATGCCATCCACAGAGATCACATATCACCAAGTCCTTGCTTACTAATGTCTGTAATATGTGCAGTGAAGGAATGAGGAATGGGTCAATACAAGTTTTATATGTCATCTGAAATCTTTACAGAGTTTGGCCTGTGGATGCATATCTGATTTCACAGGAAAAATAGCTTACTGGCACAGAGGATACAAGTAGGAACCCTGTGTTCAAACCACTCTTCAAAGTGATTTAAAAAGAGAATGCTTTAAAAGATACTAGTGCCTTATTGAGTGTACAACTGCACTTTTCTTGGAGGAAGGAATTTGCAAAGCAACCCTTGAATTTAATGTTTGCACTAAAAGAGTGCATATTTGATGTGTGACATATTACAGTTATGGCATGTGCCAACTATCATTTAACTGGTCTCTTGCATATATAACTAGTACTACTCTGAGTTATTTGCATGCACTTTCTACAGAGGATGCTGAAGTTTTTGGCACTATCTTGTACTGACACATCTTCAACTCTTATGTTTGAAGAAAAACCTAAAACTGGCATTATTATGATATGATATGATATCACACATCTGTTTCTCCAGGGGTTCTAGTCTGGTCGTGCTCAGCTCACTTGTAGGAATCAAGTTTAATCTTCTGAGCTTTAATTCAGGCATCACATTGTCTGTTAAAGAATCCCGTGCCTTTTCTCTCTTAAAAGCAAGACAAATCACTGTGATGGCACATGGCATCAGCAGGCTGATGCACTGTAGACAGAACAGGAGAGCTGGTTCAGACCACATTCCCTATAGGAAAGAGGAACATAACACTGCAGACTTCTTCCTTAGATGAAGAATAGTGAACGTAAACAATTTCAAGTCCCTTTTCCATTTATTCTTATAAGGAGATTTCAAATTCATAGATGAGTGTTTATTTGCTCACTAAACGCCCTGCTTTGGTTTTGCCCTTTTTGAGAATGTTTCCTCCCTGTTCAGGCGCATTTTGAAACACTTCCTCCTCTGAGTAATTAAAAGCTGCTCACGTCCCTGGTTAGCAAAAACCCAGTGTGGTTTATCTTCAGAGTACTTGATTTTTTTTGAAGGGGAACTTTTTAGATACCTGAGGGTAATACAAATGAGAATTTATGAAGAGGAACACTTCAGCAGTAGATCTACTTGCTATCACATTGGAAGCTCCTTGTACTTAAATCTGTTTGAAGCATGACTACAAATGTATTCTTACAAACATATGGCTCTCCTTACCTGTTTCACTTCCAATTAAAGGCTGGTTGGCAAAATGCATGACCAATTCCTTCAAGCTAGAAAATTCATTAAACCCAAATTTGAATGAAGTTCCTGTATGTTCAATATGGAAGTGTTTCACAGAATCTTTTCCCCTAAAATAAAAAAGGAATATTTGTCAAGGCATAAATGCCAGAGGCTTTTGGGATACACAGTCCTTAAATAGCAGCTTTCACTATAGGAAATCTGGCCCAGGGCACAGGCTGACATTCACTGTCCTAGCAGTAATACTACTGCCATTACTGTCCCTGCTAATACTCAGCACATCCCAGATTTGAACTGCTGCTTTACAGATATGAGATGATGAAAGCCTAGAAAGGCCAAGTGACTTAACCCTTACTTTAACTCTTGCATCAGTAAAAAGACTCACAAAAGAGATTTCAAGCCTTCTGCCTAAGCAGGATGATATCCCTTCACTTACTGGCTTTAGTCTTGATATTACTTGGGACTTGTCTTACTTTTCAGGAAGCATCCCAATCTCATTTAAAATGTCTTCTCTTTCTCTTTCAAAAATAAGCTGTCTCCTTTTTGCACCCAAATAGGGGTCTGATAACCTGCTTTTGAATACCTAAGGCTTTACAATTTGTTTTGTCTCTCTTTGGATGAATGGTTCCTCTATGATGGGCACTATCAAATGTGGACCGGGCTCCTTTGGCTGTAGAGAAAGTAACAGCATTTGTTTGTGAAACCTGATGGTATTTGAGAAGCGTGCAAGGCCTCACTTCCCAGATGGGCTATTACTTTGACTCAAAAGAAAGTGAAGCACTTAATGAAAGTATTTCTCCAGTGAAAAAGTTACTTTTGTTAATGTTACTAGCACTCGAAATAGTTTGGAGTAAACTTTGTCCGAGTAAAAACTTATATAGAAAATATACTGAAAATAGAGTGAAGAAAGGGATTTATAGTGTCTTTTTCATTGTTTATTTCCACTTCCACTGAAGATTATGATTTCAATCACTAGGTACTTAAATATTTATCTCTGAACAGTATTCATGATATTGTAGAACGTGCCTCTATTGGCCTCCAGCATTTTTTGTGCTACAGTCAGCTGGGGCACAACGCCTGCAACAAGCCCAGTGCAAATGCTCCTCACCAGCACAGAGCTGCTGTAACTCTGCTGCAATGACAGGATTTTCCGTCTTTTCCTCTAATTTCATAAGAAATATAATGTTGCAATGAGAGCAACTTCTACTCTGCTTCCTGCTTCCTTTTCAAATTGGCTAATTTAACTGGGGGAGCAGATTTCGGGCAATACATGATCTCTCTTCCTACAGCTGTCAATAAAACCCTCAAGGGATGTCTAAGCAGTTTTTCCTTTAAGAAAATCCAAAACTATAATAATGACTGAAGTTCCTCGAGAGGTAGAGACAAAAAGTAAAGTAAAAGCTACAGAAGACATTTTAGGAGAGAAATAAAATGACAGCTAGAATTGCTAAATTTATCCTTTCCACAGAAATGGATCAGAACAAAACTGAATTATTTATTCTAAAATTAAGTTTTAATATTAGTCAAAAACTTGAAAGGAAAAGGTAAAATTAAAAAAAACATAGACAATAATTTAAACATTTTAAAGTCAAAATCAGTATTAAGGGAGCAGTACCACCAAAAACTGATGTAACAGAATAAATGATCAAACTCCAGATTGGGCTATTCAGTTCACGTGGTAATGCAGGAAGTAATTCTTTTTAATATAGCCAGAGCTGAACAAGAGGTTGGAATGGGCCTGAAGTAGACTTTTCTAGGTATTTTAAGGCTACAATTCATTAAAGCAGCAAATTTATTTTCATTAACTAACACTTTTTTTTCCTATTAAATGAGCAACTATTTAAATTTCGTTTTATTACAATAAGTTGATTCCTGAGCGCCCTTTAAAACTAGCTTAGTTGTATACTTTTGATTGTCTGAGGTAGATTATCTCAAATAATGCTTAGTTACATTTTAAAGTCAAAAAGTATTGACAAAAGAGACGATTAATTTTAAATTACTTTTTTTTTTTTTAAGGAAAGTTATTACTTACAAGTGCCACTATTCTTTTTCCCAGCACTTGCCCTCAATTCCGTCACTGCTGCTCTGAACACTCATTTTGTAACATCACCTTCAGATCTGTAGGGCATCCCCAAAGCTCCTTGCATAAATAGCTGTTTATAGTGGTAATAATTTCAACAGTGTATGTATAGGCACACTTGCTCCTGACCTTCTGACAGAAATGGGTGAAACAGCTCATAGTTGCCTTTGCTGGGGAACAGGGTATGTGCAAATTGCACTTCTGAATTGTAACAGCTTGTGGTACTGCATGTGCAGAAAGCCACAATCTCAAGAGCATATGCTGTGTTCCTGTCAGGTTGTAAATAATCAGCATCATTGCACTGTTCAAAGTGGCTTTAGCTTAAAAAGTTAATGTGATTCATCTGAGCTCTGGCCACCAATTGTTCAGAGGCTCAGTCTGAGGCACAAATGAGCTTGAACGCAGTAGCTTAAAATTTTACTCTAAGGCTGCTTATACAGTTGCTAAAGGCTAAGAATGTATTTAGAGTTTGTCACCTCCTCTCAGCTGACATGCAGAGACCAACTTGTGTGTCTAATGTATATGTCCTTTGTGTTGCCTCTCTAAAATACTGTGGCTTCTCCTCTTCTTGGGAGAGTTTCTAAATGTGATTTGTAGTGTCCTAAACTCATGTAAATTGCTGTAGCTGACTTCAAGGGCCTGACATTTGTCACCTGCAAAATACTGTCTAAGTCAGTCATGCACTACTGGCTACAACTGAACCTTAGCCCACAACAGAGGAGGAAAACCATCCAGTCAAACACTGGAACATCCTTCAGAGATGGTGGTTCCTATTGAGGGATTCAGAAACTAGTGAAGTTAGCACCTGTTAGATGGTAAGTTTGCCACTATCCTCATCATAAAACTTCTCTACTCCCATCGGCTGTTTCTTAAGCTCTTGTAACTGCCATACAGATTTTTATCATGCAGACTGAAAATCTACAGCCAATCCACAGAACGATGTTTTCTACCAATAAAATTAATTTACAATTTGGAAAAATGAGAGCAACTGTCAAATCCAATCAATTATTTGTTTTCCTCTAACAAAACATTGCTCAGTGGGATTACACCACTAGGAATTTACTTCAAAATAGTCCGAGGCCTAGGAAAAAACCTGTAGGTCATTTCAGCACATGAGAGATGCAAACAGACGTGGAAGTGCAGCATTAGATCAATTCACTCTGTCCATACCCTACCTTACGGAGAGGGAGTACAAATCTTCCCTTTCATTACTCTTCCTCAAAAGATAGCTGCCATCCTGCCCGTTGGAAAGCAGCAGCGCTTCTGCTGCGTGCCGGGTGAGATTATCATGGTACCACCTGGGAAGACACAAAGGGTTAAAGCATCATTCTCTCAGCCCTTAACCGACAGCTGCTGCTGCTGCTGCTGCTGCTGCTTTTTGGAGCGGGGTTACAGAAAGAGGAAGGACGGCAACATCGCTGCTACAATTTTGAGTTACCACCCGACTCACAGGTTACACAGATCCATTCCCCTTTCAGCAGCCGCCTTTCAGCATGCTCAGAGAACTATTTTTTGTTAATGCAAAGTTGTGTACAAACAGCTGACAGCTTGAATCTAAAGAACCCTGCAAATTATACCTGTATGAGCAACAAGTTACCCCCAGGTCTGTGCTGACAAGGTGAAGGCAATTTTGGGGGGGCATACAGAATCCTTTGTCTATTTTCAGAATCTGTACTTCCTGACATATCTATACACTTTGGTACACTTCCTCTTCTGGGGCAAACAGGCAGCACTTAAACTCCTCACAAACTCTGTGTTTCCCACAACAGATCTGCACTACTAAGATCTGCAATTAAGCATGCTTGCCTAAGGTTAGAATTACAGTGTTCAAAATTAACTGACGAAATTTCAGTGAAAATTAAGAAATTTCATTGTTGTTGCCCCTTGGCCACATGAGGTCTGAAAGATGGAGGAAAACATCTTAACACCTGCTTCAATTTAACTTCAGTGAAAATAAACTTTTGTTTTTCTATGTGAACAATTTTGCAAGGAATTCAGAGGAAAAAAAAAAAAAAGAGTCCTACAAAGAAGTCCAGGAAATGTAGTTTATGGCTTTCTTTCCATTCATTTCCATTCCATTTCATTTTAATGTTCCAGAGTAGAAACACCCAATTTCTTTCAACAGCCAAGGATCTCCTTAGAAATGAACCTGAGGCTGAACACAAAAAAGCGCCGCAGCTGTACAAGGTTGGAGTTCCAGTCCTGTAAGACGTGTGTGCAGATATTAACAATAGCTATATACACCCACTAGAGCCTGTGGTGCAGGAGGGAGGGATACTACATCCAAGGCACAGTTCTGCAGGCAGCAAGCTTCCTATGTCTGTGAGTGGAGTGGTGACAGGTCTCCTTTCCCTTCCTTTAAACTGTATGTGCCTGTAGCACTGGGGTCAAAGTCTATCACTGTTTCAGCCAGAGAAATACAGTTTCACTGAAAGCAGAAGTGTCATCACAGCACTGTTCAGAATTTGTACCGTGGCAGTCTTCAAACTGGACCCGGGTGCAATACTCCTTCTCCTTAGCTGTTCTTCCCAAATTGCCACTAAACTTATCATCTCACACAAAGCTTTAACTCTGAATTTGGACAGCTGCCTAGCTGAAAGGCCAGCTGGCTGATAAATTGCTTTATAAGAGACTCCAGACCATTAACCCAGTGGAAGACAAGATCCATGCGAAACTCAATACCGACAGGGTATTGCTGCTTTGGCTCTAGGATGCTGTTCGTGGGCCATCTACACAGGAGAATAATATAATGAATATTTAAAGATCAAAGTGTCATCTTCTGAAACACCTGTCAGCCAAAATCCGCTTTGGGATTAACTGCCCAAGTAAGTAACAGTCAAAGGTCAGACCTGTCCTGATGTGAAGGGGATCGTATCAGCATGCATGCTTGGCTGGACCTACAGCTGGGAAGGTAACATTGTGTTTTGGGTGGGATTTCATAACACCACTTCTCTCACTTCTGTGCAAAAGAAGCATACGTTGACAGAATCTGCCAGTGGTCATTTGCATGAAGGAGGTGAATGTAGTTTGACCTTGCTCATAAGTGTGCTGTTACCTTATTTCCAGAAATGCCTTTTTCTAAGAGTTTAGTTAGGGTTTAAAAAATGTTATGTTTAAAAACATGTTTAAAAAGTGCTATGTTAAAGTCCACACTCTCTTTAAACATAAAAGGCCAGTGACTAACAAAATTTTACCACTATGCAAATAAAAATAAATAAACTGACCAAAAGCGAACAACAAAACCCCACCCGCTTAATTGGTAATGTAATGTTGTTTGAAAGCGCAGTTTTGCTGACAACGTTCCACCGGTCATCTTGCCTAAATATGCTGTCTCAGACAAAAATCTCTCAAATGTTACTGTGTTCCTCTTGCTCAGCTTAAAAAGTAGAAGTGGATGTGAGGCAGTACCACAGATCTTAGTGTCAAAGGGACTGTTTTACATATTTTGGGGGTTTTTTACTTCCCGACTGTCATAGATGGTTCAATTGGGTTATGTGGATATTCCACTGTGAAAATGGTCACACAAAACTTGTTGCAATTGCACAAGCATAGGTAATATTTTGAAATGCTGTGGAAAATTTAGAATTTGCACCACAGACCCCAGGAAGGTAAATACACACCTGTGCAAACAGTTTGCTCTCCCAATCAAGCCTGCTTGATGATACAAATAGAAATAAACAGGACTAAAAATAAACCCAAACGGTTCTGTTGTGAGACACTACTATGTATACTTGAGGTAAATTTAAGTATTTGTCAGAGGAGGAATCCTTCTTTTTATCTGATTCATAAAATAAATCTTTTAAGCAGTTCTTTGAAATTTGCAGGCAAATCAAGATGGCAGACATGGATCATTTGGCAAAACACTGTAAGAGGCAGTCACCTTTAGCTTAAATTTTGGTTGTCTTCAGAGTGATTTTTTTTTTTCATGGCTAGGCTTTGCAAACAAAGATTTGGTCAGAGTGATACCTGGAACAGGAAACTCTTGATAGAAAAGACAATACTGAATCTACCTTCTTGCCTTCTTAAATGAGGAAATCAAAACACTTTAAAAACACCCATCTGTTTGAAGCCCCTAGAAAGTCCTTCAAAAAGCTTGGCTTCAGTCTTTGATTTTGAACCATGCTGTTTCTGAAGCTCCTGTTTCTGAAGCTCCTTCCAAAAGTCTTCTTTATAGATTCCTGTATTCACTACAAAAAAAATTCAGAAATATGCTCTGTACTTGGACACTCGTCAGACTGAAAATCATCAGTAGTGCAAAGATTTTGTGGGGTTCCTGATTCGCATTTCTCAGAAGAAACACAAGCAGAAAGATAGATGAAAGTCCTTTCCTGCTTTCAAGCCACTTCTGCTGGCTACCCTTGGCTGTGCACACCTTCCTGTCTGATATATAGAGGTTTTTCTTTTCTAATAATTTCATTTCTCCCATTAAAAAAATCCACATCCTCACCTTTTTGGGGTTACTTCTCCATAATTTGACTAGCAATCTCAGTCTCAGAGTTTGTAACTGCTGTCATTTATCCATTCTGGTTACTTTAACTTTGTCCCAAATGACATTAAATCTCTTAATCCCATACATATAAGCACATTTGTGTTATCAGTGTTGCTGAATGACCATATTATTCTTCCTACTCTTCAAAATAGAAGAGTCTGCTGGGCCAATGAAAGCACATCTTAGGATGGGCATGCATATCTAGTGAGATTACCTTTGTTAATCTTTGGGGGAAAAAAAGCATTTTCAAAAATTAGCCTATTCTTTAGTTCTGAGCGCATTGGTGACAGCATAGGAAGGACTTTACCAACATGGCTGATAAGAGCAGGAGAGAGAAATGAGTGCCCCAGGGAGCCAAAACTCATCAGAGCACACAGCCTTGCCCTAAAGATCTGCCCATCCAGTCAGCAGTGGGGTTCTCTTGTGGAGTAAGCTGGCAGCCATATCACTGCAGCTGTGCTGGTCCTCACAACTCCAGAACAGGATGCACTCATGTTAAAATCTCTTCTTGCATTAACATCTCTGGGTAGTTCATACAGTGACTGGAGCTACCTACACTGAGGTGATGATCACAAATATGTTGCAGCAGTGTTTGAGGTGGGAAGCTCCCTCTTCGGGTTAGAACGCCATCATCCAAGTGTTCATTTGTTCTCTAACAACCCAAGTTGTTTCAATGAAAAATGTTAATGAAACTTTATTTCTATGTCCCTGCAGACCAGAGAGCCCCTAGGTTTGGCATCTGTTGATTCTGGTAATGCTGTTTTTGAAGAAACCATATGGACATCTTGCAAAACATTAATGCCTGTGTAAATATGGGGCTAGTGAATAAACTTGTAGCTGGCATCAGGTGGATTAACTTCTTAACAGTTACAGAACACACAGGGAGCACAAACACTCCTTCATGCAAGAATGAATGTTGAGAGACTTGGATAACTCTCTTCTCAGCCATTTCTATGCGCAAACTGAATAACACCTGGTACAAACACTCGCTTTTCTTCCTCATAGAAATGAAAGATAGTAGCACCAGAGAAAGAACAGCTAGAAGACTCTCGGTTTAGTGTCTGGAGTGATAACTCTGAGGTATGCCCAGCTATCAGATAAATGCAGTAGGTAGAGGTCACACTTAGTTTTTGTGGCCTTATCAGATTATATTCTCTGACGGTTATAGCCTGGATAGAGTTAGAAAGTGTGTGCACGTTAGGCTGGCTTTCATAAAAAGTCAGGCCATTTAAAGCTCCTTCTCCGAAGCAAGAAGGAGATTCTGGGTGTTCAGCTCTGTGAATTCTCTGCTCCTTCTCAGAAACCCCCTCCCCTACTGCAGATGGTGCTCCTCAGTGGGTGACCATCCCTGTGGAAAGCACCTTGAAGGACCCAAGCAGAAACACAGCAAATCTAATTCATCTCTCAGCCACTTCTGAAGGGTAACAAGAATGGTCCAGATGTGCTTGCAGTAGGACTTCACTCCAGTATTATTCATAGCAGTTATTTACCCTGAGTTGGTTGGTTGGGGTTTTTGTTGTTTGGGGTGGGGGTTTTTTTGCAGTGGTAGATGATGGCAAGTTTTACATCTTTTTTTTTATTAAAAAATATCTTCTTCCACAAGGAGTTGAATTTGCTTACACTTTGAAACCATATACTAGGTTCAAAATGTATTCCCATTCTTAGGTTAAAGGAGTGGTACATAGTACTGCTTGATGGAATGCACAGGAGGGCACTGACATATCTCCACTGACTGGATTCAATGCTCTTCACATGCCTGTAGTCCAAAAATGACTCCACAAAACTGACACTAGTTCTCTATTTTTGGCATTCTGGATTTCAGCAACTTCCAGATGTGATCTCTCAAGTTAAGTTGTTTTGGGTTTTTCTTAAACTTGTTTTCCTAATATCAAACCCTAGAAGCATTGCCTGCCATCTGAAAGTTGCAGGGGGGTACCTCACGTCACTAAAAGTAAAGTTTTGGCAAGGTTTTTAATGGTACGTGAGTCGACAGAGCTCTAGAGAACCTACAAAAGGGCAAGAATGCTAAGACAGAAGTTATAGGTGGCAGGCAACCAAAACTGGTATTTATTAGACATCCTTTCAATGTGTCACACCAAAACACTTAATCACGTGCCTATGTAAAGCACTTCGTTGGAATACAAGGATGTCATTACAAAGGAAAAATAATTTTAAAATAGAAATAAAAGGAAATAACATCAGTGTGTCCAGCCTTAAAATTCCTGCCTTCTAACTGTAGACTTTCACTAGTTCAGCTTCTGCTTTTCGCTTCCATTTTCTCTCCCCCTCCTTTCAACTGCCTTCATTCTGATTTTCACCTGATTTAGGTCTGTGGCTCAACTTCTCTTCAGTTATGAAAACTAAGCATGAAATGTATTGTTCGGACTTACAAATACCGTCTGTCACGGTATTGTCAAACCCGGAGGAGCACAGAAGCTCTGCTGCAAGGGGTGACAAAGAAAGCTCAGGCTACAAAAGGAAAAAGGCTACAAAAACTTATTTTCTCTTGCCCCGTTCCTTTCACCTCCAACAGGCAAACAGTATCACCCAAACTATGCTGTACTGGGACGGAAACTGCTCTACCAGAACAGCCTGGAATTACTCGGATGACGGGATATTCCACATTCTCATCTCTTGCGCAAATAATGTGAACTGAAATGTGGAATTCCCCAGACTCATGTAGTACGTGATCACTCACAGGAACTTCACGCTGCATATAAAGGCTGTCCTTTCAGCTGTAACAGCAATAACTGCAAGTGAAAAAAGGGTTGACTATAGGAGTAACCAAAGAGACCTTCAAAGAAGAATCCCAGTGTCAGTTTCCTTCTCCCTTAAGCCAAGATGTTTACCTCTCTTTTGACAAACTTCAGTGTTCCCTTTTAAACATTTTAGCACATTCAGGGACAAAATTAATGAACGAGACAACAAGTTTTTAACAATGTGTTTTGATTTTGATCTCCCTTTTCATTAGGCATTAGGTCCACCTATATGCACATCCTCACAACGAAACTGACTGTAAGCTGAATTTTCACTACATTGCTGACAACTTTCCATTTTGATGAGCAGCTAACCTTGTAAACTATGAGCATATCCCAGCACTCAGCCTCCTTTCTTGAAAAGGAAAGGAAAAGTACTCATTTCACACTTCCTCAAACCTTAGCCAACTTCTTTGATTTTTGCACCATAAAGCAGAAGCTCTAAAATAACCTGCTTCAAATTCCAGCCCCCCACAAAGGCCCCTGAACTTCAATGCTGCTCCTCATTTGAATGACTGTTGTCTCTGTTGGTCTTTACTATGGCAATGATACATTCCTCACCAGAACCGGGTCTCAGTTGTGCTAGATACTACTATATTGGGTGCCAGGGGAACTCAGCACTGTGACAGTGTCAGGAACTAACTTTAGGTTGGAAAACGCTTGTGATGACTGAAAACTCAATTTTATGGTCTGAAGAGTGACATGCCCACTTCTCACAGCTGAAGAAGTATTTGCATTAAGAGACCTTTTAGACTATGCTACAAGAACGCTTGCTGTGTGAGGACTTCTTTTTCTCTTTAGAAAAAAGACCAAAAAAAAAAAAAGTTACTTTAGTACTAGCTGAAAAGAAAGGGCCTTGTTTAATAATTTGAAGGAACTCTTTGCCTGGCATTGCGCCTTTAGTGCATTTAACTCAACAGGTTCCTCTGAAGGAGGTGTTCAGTGTTCTGCGGTAGGGTGAAAAGTTTAGGTTTTCCATTGAAGTGGAAATAAAATAAAGAAGCTACAGCTTTAAAAACGCATATTTGTATCACTCCCATCTGTACCCTCTCCTTCTTATGGACACCACATTAGGTACCACCTCAAGCTGCAGTGCTACAAGATCACCTGTGAAGATGAACTCCTCGCCAATGAGTGAGGCCATTACTAGGCAGGTGTTACCTGTATGTTATCAGCTCAGACCAAATAGTGTAAATGAATAAAAGTCTAGTGATTGGAAATAAGGCTTCCCACAACAGCTGCAACTATTTTTTTTTTCCCTTCTTCCCTGAAGATATTATTTTAGGATGAGCATAACCTTGCAGATGCAAAGAAAAAGCATATAATGGCCACTCTGGATACCACTTCAAAGTGACTTAATATCATACTTGTTAGATGCTTCCATGAACCGGTATTTCTTTTAAAGGTTCTTCTAAATATGGGAAAATATCAGCAGTGTGGAGATGGTAATTTCAAGTCATTTTGTTGCACTCCAATTTCTTCTCTAAGTGAATTAATCACAAAAATATGCAATGATTTGGTCCTAATCTGTAAGTACTCAGGAAGCAAGACACCTTTACTTTTTTCATCTATTCTTTTTGAATGCAGAGGTGACACCAGAGCCTTTTTGCTTTGTCAGAATCATCACTGGCCTTTCTTCTGCTTTGCCTCCCCCTTGCTTTGCTGCCACTGATCCTATCTTTCCTGCACTCACCTGTGCAGCTCCTCCAGCCCGTGTTTCTTCTTACCCACGGCAACGCTGCCTTTCTCCTGTGAAAACCAAAACTAACTGACAGGCAGAATGGGTGTGTCACATCGGACAGGGAAAGCCTATCGCAGCCTTCAGCCTTCCTTTTTGCTCCTGGGGTTTTTTTCTTTGTCAGTGAGCGTGATGTCCTCCTCATAATGGCTGAGAATTACGGCTCCTTTGGGAAGCCTGCTGCCTCCCGGGGCCCTGCGAGGAGCAGCCGGCATGGAGGCTGGGACAGCAGCCCTCAGCTCCAGGGCCCAGACCAAACCACGGGAGGCAGCCGACGGGAGGGCACGGGGAGGGCAGCAGCTCTGAGTCCAAGCTCTGGGTTTGGTGCTCCCTTGAAACGTGGGAAAGTGGCACGGCACAATCTGGGCTCTTCCCAGCATAGGAGGTTTCAACATCACAGAGGTTCTCTGAGGGAAACTGACGCAAACTCTCCACTGGATTCGAAACGCCTGCCTGCGCTCTAGTTTTTCCTATTATCTATCCCTCCCACTCACGTGTGGCCTTCCAGCCTTTCCCACCTGCCACAGGGACGAGGCACTGGGCTCCTCCGAGGGACCGCACACCATGCCCGGAGCCCTTTGTCGGGCTCGTTGAGACAGACCTCATGTTACCTTATCACTCACTTCATTACCAAAACCCAGCAGCAAAGAACCAGCATCTCCCACCCCGTCAGCTCCCATCGCGTGGCGCGGCACCACCAAAACCCAGCAGCAAACAACCAGCAACTCCCACTCCCTCAGCTCCCGCCGGGTCACCCGACACCACCTGCAGGACGGCCATTTAGGGTGTCCTTCGTGCGGGGGACTCCCCCTTCCCCCCGAGCTCCGCTTACCCGAGCGCCTCCAGCTCCTGGTCCAGCGGCGAGGCGGGACGCGGCTCCCAGCGCTGGGTCATCGTTCCCCCCGCCGCCGCTTCTCCGCCGCCTCCGCCCCGCCGGGGAACGACACCCGCCCGCGACCGCCCCCGCGGCACGCCGGGGAAGTGCGAGTGGCACCTCCCCGGGCGGGTCCCGTCCCATCCAGTCCCGCCCCGGCCCCGAGGAAACGACCCCCGCCCGGGGCTTTGCGGACCCCTCCGGCCTTGTTCTATCCCTACAATAATTCGTATTGGCAATTGCTTCGGTCTGTACATCCCTGAAATGCACATTCCGAAGTGTTTCGTTGTACGTTCTTTCTCTGGTTTTTTTGTTGTTTTGTTTGGTTTTTTTGTTTTTTTTCCCCCCGGCAGTCGGTGGATGTCCCTCACCTCTTGTTGTATCCGACAAAGTACTCCGCGAGGAAATCTGTGGAGGTGCACTCTGTTTGCAGCTTGCCCCTCCGAGCGCAGCTCTCCGCGGTGCGCTGCTGCCGCTGGCTTGCCTGGGAAGGGGCATCCTTCCTGACCGGGGCCTGCCCTGCCGCAGGCACCTTGAACTTGAGATATTTCTGAGTGTTGTCTGCCGTCCGCCCTTTCCAATGCTTACTTAAAACGATTCTCCACGCTACTAGAGGTTATTTGTATTCCCCAATACTTCACGGGCAGTAGTTACTATAGGTGTGTCAAATTCTTTAACGAATTTCTTTGACAGAAGGACAGAAAGAGGACGGAACAGCTACTTATTTTCTCACACACTCAGTGTGAACTGCTCAGTGGTTCTCACACACACTCAGTGTGGAGCCAGGAGTCACTTGAAGCAGGCATGCTGCCTCCTAAACGGGAAAAGCTTCAGAGAGATTCCATATGTCAGATCAGACTATCCTGTTGTTTGAGCTTCCAACTGTGGCTGTGAGGTGCTCTGCTCCTGTACTTGACTGTTCATCTTGAGAACCAAACATTCTTTTTTAGATAAAGAGTTTGCAAATAAGCTGGCTTTGCTTTTCCTTATTAGGAAAAAATATTTTTTTAATGGGGAAAAATATTTTTTCCTCTTTCTGAGTTTGCTCCTTCCTCTATTGCTTATTGAAAGCTTGTGATCTGACAATGTCTTTGGTAACCTGACCCTGAAATCCACAACGTTTGGTTAAATAGATGCTTTTGAGGTCTTCACTGTTTGCTTCTGTTTGCTGGATGGATTTATTTATTGTTGCTCTCCTGTTCTGGAAGCTGCTGTGTTTGATTTCCACAGTGATGAACTTGGTTGTCTTGAAGGTTTTCTTGTCTATGTTATTGATAGAGGCGGAAAAGTAGCTATCAAAATGTCTGAGTTACAGAGGGAAAAGCAGAGAAATTAAAATTAATTAAATTCCAAGCAATTAAGAGCCCCGACTAAATTTTAGTAAATTCCAATTACACCACATATGGTCTAAAAGTTCACCAGTGCAGACTCAAAGGTGGTTTCCAGCCGTTCTGTACACCATCGTGTAGAGATGTGTACATGTTTTGTGCACTGGTGTGTTGCGACGGGAGGGGATTCCCATCTAGACCAGATGCTTCCTCTTGCTCTGCACCTGCAATGTTTCCTCTTCATTGCAGGGAAAAAAAAAAAAAAAAAAAAAAAGGGCAGAAATTGTACTCTCGTGCAGCACAGATCCAGCTTTCCCTTTGAGGAAATCTGCTCGATTTGGGATCTTTAACACAGGTTAGCCGCAGGGCAAGAGAGGCTACAGATTGCCAGCTTGCATTTCGGCAGAGCCAACAGACTTTAGTGTCAGGGTTTCGGTCCCTTTCCCAGTCAGGAGCATCCCGGCCGGAGGACTTGGTTCCGTGCGCGGTTTGAGCGCTGCGCCAGAGCAGACCTGTAGGCAGCAGCAGTGCTCCAGTGCTCGCTGCTCAGCCCGGAGCGCTGCTGAGCACAAAGCACCCCAACAGAAATGGCAGGATAAGGTGCCTCTTTGAAAACCAGTGCGCACTTGGGCTTTCCACTCATCCCCTCCCAGCTGTCAGTTATCGTAACAGTGTGATTTAATTTTTTAAAATACCTGTCTGTTGAAGACTTGCTTGAATAATTGAATCTCATGGGAAACAAAACAAGCAAACAAACTCGTGGACACCAAACCCTATCGTTTTAATTTCAGATTGTGAAGAAACAGAGGGAAAACTATGACCATCAAAATGGGCAGAGGAAGGCCAATAATGATTGATATATATGCCATTATTCCTTGCCTTATGTGTCACACTAGGTTATTCCAGAACTACGCTTTTACCAGCAGATTTTAAAATCCAATAAATGCTCTACATTGCAGCCATCAGGTCTCTCAGAGCAGCATGAGCTTGCTTTTATGATAGTGCTTTTGGAGATCGTGTTTTCTGTTCGGGCAGAAATTGTGGGATTGCTAGACGAGGTTGTATCACATGTGTCCTGCAAGTGGTCAAGTCCCAGGATCATGATGGTTCTTCCAGGTTTTCAACTTTTGTGCAGTAATGCCTAAAACTGTTTGTAAGTTTTAATTTTTTCAGGTGGCTGTAATTTTGTACTTGAGTTTTAAGATATATTAAACTGATAAAGGAGAATTAGGCTTAGGCAGGCATGTGACTAATAAATAAACATGATTGTTGCAAAGCAGAATTAAACAACTCCAGTTAATTGACAAAATTAAGTAGGAAAGAGTTGAAGATTTAATTTCTTTCCTTTTACCATTCCACCTTCTGATAACCTGAATAGATTGTAAATAGCTGTGAACCATCCAAACTTTAACCTAGAGGGAATGGCTTCATCCAAATGAAACTAAAAGGAATGGAAATATCACAAAGCCATCATTAACACTACTGGGATGAGGGCCAGGTTGGGATGGAGCAGAGTAGGCACCTGCAGAGCACAGGTTTCCTATACAACACTGAGCTGCCAATTAATTTATTCCCTGTAAGGCAAATATATCTGAAAATTTTGTAGGGTCCAAGACATCTAATCCCTATTATGCTCAGGTACAATCCCATACTCTGAATACTGTGAAACTTGCTGAAGCAATTACAGAAATCTTTCCACTGTGTTCACACACAGGATGTACTAATATCATCTTCTGAAATTAACCTCATTCTTCCCTCCTGAATGTGTCACAGATTGTCTCACAGTGTTTATTGAAAACAATTTTTTTGTTGGAGAACATTTCACATACTGGATATCAGCATAGTGAAAAGTTTACTTTGTGGATTTTGAGGCCCATTTATTTAATGTGTTTTTAATTTCCACGGTCAACAAATCTTCAAAACATGCCAGCTAGCCTCGTGTTGTCTGCAATCTATTCAGGTAGGAAACACAGAAGAGAAGTGAGAAAAGAGATGCAACAACCATGTCCTCCCAAGCCTTTGTAGAGTTTCCTGCCAAGTAGGATGGGCACAGCCATGTCACATATGAATATGATTACATATAGGATCCCAGAGATACTTTTATAATAATTCAGCTTTTTAAATCTCCTAACTCTGTCCTTAGTAAAAATGCTAGCACTCTCCATACTCTTAAGGATGTGACTTTTGGGACCAAACATAGTTAGCATTTCTAACCAAATACACTTTCTCCTCTTGTTTGCTCTAGGAAATTCAGCTACCACTCTAGAGCTAAACAAAGGGGGATTTTTTCCCGATTTGTGGATTTACACAGGGACATGGGAAAAAGTACATGAAGTTTCCCTTGATGCTTGTTAAGTTTTTTCCTAGTCCTTGCTTGCTGTGTGCATAACCAGGAGCTGGAACATGTATATTTTGAGATGATAGTGGAAGATTAAATGCCTCTAGCTAGAACAGCTGTGTTATTGCACGTGGTTTGGTTTTCACAGTTTCAATAATGTGGATAATGATGTGAAGGTTATCTGTTTCCAGTTTCAGTTCCACAAGGAAAACTTTCTAGGAACTCTGTCAATCCACTGTTTAACACACATGTGCGCTTGAAGCCTTCGACACGTTTATCAGGTCTCCTCAGACACAAAGTCTCTTTAAAACTCCCCCCTTTGGAGCAGTGTTGTTCTCTCTGAGTAGATTATGTGTGTTTCAAATCCTTTTTCTGTCCAGCCAAACACCAAGATAATCTCAAGAAATAAACCCAAACATCTAGAAATTATCTTTAAATTAGAAAATGCGAGTTTCAGTGGTTATTACTGGCAGCACACATGGGGAGGTGGAGGAGAGCGGGTCTTGTTGCCAAAGGTCAGGGTGAGGGACATGGCTGGAGACAGGCAGCTCCTTTTGTGGGCCAGGTGGAGCCTTGAGCCAAGTGACCTGCTGGCAGTTAAGCCTGTGGCCAAGAGGAATCAGACCTGGTTGGCATGTCTGTGCACTGTGACTGCCCAGCAATTAAAGATGTAGGGAGGAAGAGCCTCTCCAGACTCCCTCAAATCTGGGTCTGTGCTGTAGTGATCTGGGGTGGGGAGCAGCTTCAGGGTTGGAGACCTGAATGTCTTCACACCCGCAGTTCCTCCAGGGATTTCTGCTCCTCTTCTGCTTGCATGTGAAGCCAACCCATAGCTCTGTCCTGCAGCAGAGCCCAGGGTTCCAGCTCCGCTTCTGTTGTGGCTCCCACCCCTTCACACGTGGGATTACAGTCTGACAAGCTTAGCTAGAGACTGCTGGTGCATCCAGAGCATAGCTGACCACAAATACCAGTGTCCAACCATATGTGACAAAACTGATGGAGATACAACACATGCTTTTAGGCTCAGGTAAAAGTGTCTTAAAATACAGAATGAAACTGTTTAAACTAGAAAGGAGGTTAGGGGAAAAAAGCTGGGAATAGTTTTACTTGCTGTGTTGTAAAACTGTTTCCTATTTCATCTCATAAGTTTTTTGTTTATTTCATTCTGGCTTTTTGCAGCTTCAAAGTTTGCATTCAAATAGCATATGAAATGTATACATGCACTATCAAACTTGATAGCCCTGTCACTTTATGCAACTGTTTGTGGATACAGGGACGAACTTTAAGAGTAACACCGAGAGCTGAGTAGAAGGGAGCTAAGGAGAAAAATTATTTTACCCAAATAAAATTACATTACTTCAGTAGCTCTGAAAACATCTGAATGTTGCATCATTTTGCATTT